TCAGGGGTAATGTGTTAAAAAAGGAAAACCGACTTTTCGGAAAAAAAAAGTCTCTCATCCCGATAATATAACATGGAAAGCAATATAAAATTGTCTTGTCATGAAGAAAGTTTTGTTAATTAAGGTCGAAAAGTTACTTTTCGACTCCGTTTCGGATAAAACGTGCTCTACTATGCTGAAGGTAGAAGCGGCTCTTTCCTTCGAAACACTTCTAACGACCTACTAGACTATACGGCGTCACGTTGCAGAAGACCGTACTCGAAAATTTATTTATTTATGGTATATTTAACGATATTTTCAATATCTCAGGCTATGGGGCGTCGAATGATAGTCAGCAATGAATTGGAAGGGATATATTGAGGCATTACCCTCATGTTTGTATGGAGAGGCTGAGGAAAGCCATGATTCCCAATCTCTTGGCCAAAATTCGAACTCGATACCTCCCAAGTACCAAGCAAGAGCCTTAACCACTCGACTGTAACAAAGGCACACAGCGTCTGTTATTTTGCAATATTGACTCCGTAGCGTGTTGTCCGTAAGCGAACTATACCCACCGAACGACCGCCGCTTGTCGGCGAAGTTAGTGCGAACTTTTAGCGGATAGATGGTGTCGCTTGGTCAGCGTAACGAATCCCCACGGCCGTTACTCTCTGTTTTCTAGATCGAATTTTGAAATATTAGAGTCCAAAATTTTAAAAAGAAGAGCACAGATTTCATCTTTATGTTTCGTAGGTCTAGGAAGAAACCCCTATACCCGGCACATTAACGACAGACAAAATCTGGTTTTGTCATGTTTGATAAGTTTTGAGTGAGGCGACGTTTTAACAGCCATTGTACTTTAAGTCATTTGTCAGTCAGTAAAAAACATGTGACACTCACTATCCAGGTGGCCCGATACATAGTGATGCCCCCTGGTGGTGAGATCATCAACCAAACTGTGCAATTGTTCTGTCATGCCGATGATGCGACATTAACCAGAAAGGCTGGACAAGAATCTGGGGCAGGGCCCCCTGGAGTCACGGGGCGTGATGACCGCAGTTGCTTTATGTTTACAACCTGCATCACCCTCCGTGGCTGCAGGCATCTCAGCTACGTGATCATTTCACGTCACTTCCAGATAGGTTTCGAAAAGTAATTCGACAGGCATCGCTAGTAACATCGCGTGATTGATTTAGATCAAACTCGGTACATGCAGCTTGTACAGGAACGGATTAAGGCAGATGCCAAACAGGCCAGAAGATCTCCATCTTAAGGACCATGCGTGGGTTTTTATATATTTATTTAGGCAGCCTCGTGAGGTTAATTGAGGAGCTACTTGAATGTAAAGGTAACGGCTCCGGTCTAGAAAGCCAAAATTAACGGCCGTGGGGACTAGTTGCGCTGACCACGCGACACCCACCTTTACGGAACCCGAAGATTCAATTACGGAGTTCGGCCGCCACTGGTCCCCCTCATCATCCAAACGGAAACTATCCTACATCTCCACTCGAGCAGGTTAGTCCAGCGGTAAAGCGCTTAAATTGTGTTTTGGCCTAGACGCAGGATCTCCCGACTCAGATTTTTCGTGATTTTCCTGAGTCCCTTCTGGCAAATTCAGGGATTGTGCGTCTAATAGCTCACGACCTATTCCTTCCAGATAGCTTCCAGTTCATAATTCATCAGTCTTACAAGGTAAAGGTAAAGGTAAAACTATCCCTGTAACAGGCCGTTAAGGCCCATAGGATTGTGAGACGTCGAGGCTCCCACATTTTCTAGACAATCGGCTCACAGATGGCGGTGAGGTTGTCAGCCTTACGCGCCGGCCGCCCTTTACCCCGCAGGAAGATTCCTGGTACTCATTTCTGTTAGAGGCTGAGTCGACCCCAGGGTCATAATGCGGCTGGAGGGATTAGGTCAATTGAAAAATCCAGTAACCTCATCGGGATTGGAAACCCGCGCCCTTCCTGCTTGTAGCACAGTGCCTCAACCACCTACGCTACCGCGTATCAGTCACACAATCCTACATAAGTGGATACGGAAAACCTCGTAAAATTCTCCTTCACAAATATCTGTTTCTAGGTCTTTCAAATTATCACTTTCCATTAGGTTTACTTAATACAGTTCTGTATTAATTTTTCATCTTCACAGAAAGAAACTGCTGAGTTAACACACCCGGCGAGGTTAACAACAGTCGTGGTGCTTTTCTTCAGCATTCCTTATTCGTCTCACAAGGCGCACTGACGGGCGACACGTTTGTTTGGAGATGACAATGTTTGCCGTACACACTCGGACACTTGTTCGTGTCCTGGTGAGTTTCCTGCCTGGCGTAGCCGTGGGCGGCAAGCGAACTGCTAGAGCAAAAGTGACACATGACACTACCGACCAACACACCATCAGTTCATTTCTGTTCAGTTTCTGAATTGTTTTCGGAACGTACCCGATTCGAATCTCGCCCGGCACACCTAGGTTTTTAGCAGCTTTCCTCAGACCTTCCAAGCAAATCTTAAAATAATACCTCTAACTCGGCCACGACCGCTTCTTCGCACATCCATTCCAGTTCTTTACTCAACGCCATCTTACCATTCGACGCTATGTAATCTGAGATACTGACAACGTCGTTAAACAAACAAATAATCCAACTGCGTAAGATGAACATGAATAATGCGTTGGGAAGGGAACAGCCATGGCCTATTTCACTTGATTATCCAGAAGGAGACTTATAAACAAAAAGCAGATTGTTTCAAGCGGTAATGCTTCTGATTTGTAATACAGATGTGCCTGGTTCGAATATCGGCCAAGACACCGACTATTCTGACTGATTTTTTCCTCGGTTCTCCTCAGTTCCTCCATAACGGTACGTTAAAATTCTGTCACCACAACCATTTCCTCCTCCTTACCTCACTTCATACATTGGATAGAATGCTTGATGGACCCCAAAGTTTTCATGGCCCAAAATAGCACTTCCCAACTCCTCACATATCGTCCAGTCACTTTAATACGCAGTAGATCCTTATGTCACTGTTGCGTTACCGAACTTGTGCTTGCTATTAGCATACGCACTGCAAGGTGCTGCAATATGCAGACCATGTCAAGTGTCGTCATCGTTGTGAAGACATGCCCCCACTCATCCCCACTTCTGGATACCTGTAACGCACAGGAACAGTGGTCTAAGTCCAGTTGGGGCCTATATTTCAGGGCCCCACCATTTGTTTCAGTAAGTTCGTAATATAGAGGCTGAATTGTGTTTAAAATTCGTTTTTGGTTCTTGTCTCTGTAGAGAAATTTCTTTCCATCATCAGATCACACAACGTTTTATCCTCGACCATTAACGTTTCAAGGTCCGCCATTTTGTTTCATGTAATTTCATTGCCATCAAATGGAATTTGATATTTCCCACAAATGCTGTGATTGAAATATATAAAAATACCTACCTTGATTTATGTAAGTTGAAATGTGATCCTTCAAACTGGTGGATTAACATACATTTTGAGGGGGTTTGAGATCAAAATGACACAGTTAACAAGCGACGCCAAACCATAGATTATATAAATCGACTGCGAAGATGTGAATTGGATTCAAATGGCTTAAAAGAAAATCTACTTGGATTTTGTGAAGAAGATGATGAACTTTTCGCGAATTACCGTAACCTTCTTACATAAGACCTCGTACCATGGAGTTACTGTAATCACTGAATCTGTTAGGTCCCCCTCCCCCTCGTGGGGTGAGACTGAGTACACTTAGAACTGAGGCCACTGTTTTGCCTGTTGTACCAGCCCCAGATAACAAATGATGATGAATGTGGAGCAATCGGTTGGATGCGAATTGACAAGGGAAGTCGAATTACACGGAGGAAACCTGCCCCAGTGCCACTTTGTCCACCACAAATCCCACGTGACCTGACACGATCTCGAAACCGGGCCTCAGCGATGGGAAGCCAGCGTCTAACCGCCTGAGCTATGGCGCAGCCCAATCTGTTAGGTTAGTTCTTTCGTTAGTTAATTCGTTTAGAATGTTATATAGTGTGTTAGAGAGATCGTGACTTTGTGTGGTTAGTGATTTCTTTCAGTAAATTACTTAATTGTTTAATCAATTTAATCTGGCTCTGGCCTGCTACCTGTTGGCCCTTCTCCACAGTCCCTTCCCCTCTCCACTCTATTGAGTTCCCATGTAGCCCACTCTCCCTCCCTTCCTATTCTTATATAGCTGGGTGTTTTTCGACTGGTGACTCAGTCTGCAGCCACCTGCTCAAGCTGATTCCTTGGTAGCGGATTTTTCTACCCTGAAGATGGAGGCGATGCATTCCTCCGAGACGTCGGTTCACACAAGATCTACACGGTACCATATCTCATAAGACAGCATTCTTCAATTTTATGTTTGCTAGACATTTGTGCAGCTGCTTCAGGATATGGGAAATACGTGTATACCGTACATCATTTCAAAATCCGTTGAAATTTATGACAATCAGAGGTTTCCTTAACACGTTTTATAACGGGAAATTTGAAATACAGATATAAACATATAAACAAGTGATCTACATTAATGGTGGTATTTTATCGTCAACACAACAATAAAAATAAACCAATCGAACTGCTCACATTAATTTTATTTGATAGTTGCTGCATGTTTCGGTCCACATTTGGGACCATCTTCAGGCAACCTCATCATATACGTCTCGTTATGGAACTATCCTAATACCAATCCATATTAGTACCACTTAACACAATCATTCAATACAACCCTCACGATGTTGCAAGAATTTTTCCAGTTATAAAATTTTCAAATTTTAAATTTATTAAAAATTCACTTGTCATTGAATGTAAAATTCTACGTTGTTTTGTGTTATTGTCCTGCATTGTAGGATGTCCTTCGCCCGGGGTTCGCTGTTATTGCTATATATTATAGAGGCTATTCACAATAATGCTATTAGTTTTTAGTTTGTTCTCAATTATCTTCTTGGGTATGTCTCTATGTTTTTTTGTGGTGTACTGTGTATTCCTTCTGTGTGGACGTTTATGTCTTACCTGTTCCTGGTTACACTGTGATGAAAACGGTGAAGATCTACATAAACTCAAAAATTTATACAACTTCGTTCAGTAGACTACTTTTATTCTAAAACGCTCTCTCTAGGAAACTTATTACACTCCCGGAAATTAACATAAAACTTGTTAAGTCCTACAGCGGCGCCATGTCTCGTTCGCGTCTGTAAAGACTGAAAAACCTTGGCCCTAAGCACAACAACAACAACACGTGTTTGTCTTGCTTTACATAACAAGACTCAAAGTTGGTTCTTTCATTTGTTGAAAGATTAATTTATTTTACAGCGGCGTCTGTCACGCGCAGCGAACGCCCGTCTGGAGCTGGTGAGAACTGCTTACCCACATGTGATCTCACTGACGGTGTTAATTCTATTCAGCCATATTCAAGACATGGCCTCGTCTGTCACACAGATATTGTAACTCCACATTCAGACAGACAGAAGGACTGCTTGGGCGGCAAGTCAAACCACTACAAAACCTCCAGCATTATAGAACAGACAACTTACTTTGCGTGCACACGCTTCATGTTTACAAATGTACACGTTATCATGTAATTTAATACAAGAACTGATGCCCACACCATTTTTGTACGTTTTAATTTCCCTAGTGGCCAGAACATGGAGCTTAACCTCCGTGCTCCCCATACCCCTCCATATTCTAAAAACAGGGACAACTTTACCTAATTTAGATCATTCCAAAGAACCCAGCCAAGCTCAAGGTCTCCTCTCCAATTTTTCGTATTATTCTATTTCTTTTGGGGGCACGCGGTAGCGTAGTTGGTTGAGGCACTATGCTACAAACCGGAAGGCCGCGAGATCGAGCCCCAATGAGTACGATACTCTCAATTTATCTAATCCTTCCAGCCACACTATGGCCCTGAGGTCGACTCAGCCTCTAACAGAAATGAGTACCAGGAATCTTCCTGGAAGGTAAAGGGCGGCCGGCGCGTAAGGCTGACAAACTTACCGCCATCTGTGAGCCGATTGTCTAGAAAATGTAGAAGTCTTGCCGGCTCCCAGTCCTATGGGCCTTCACGGCCTGTTACAGGGGTAGCTTTACCTTTTTTTTTTATACCTATTTCTTTCACAACAAAGTTCGTAGTGCCCTGCAGTGCAACCCTCCCAGGCTGGAGGAACACTCAGTTTGGGCTGTACTGTAATATAGTGACAACTCCTCCATATCTGGACGTCATTTCCTTTCTCCGCAACCTGAGGACGCGCCATGCCGTGGTGACAAAGGACCCACTTAACAAGGACTCTGCATTTGCCATCAGTGATTGGCTGTACGAACTTCTACGTAGCACGAGCCACTTACTTAGGATCCTGACTTTTGTGTGGGAAACGGCATTAAGAGAAATGCTAGTACTGTTCGAGATTTTATAATAACGTGAAACAGCAATATGGCTGCCGCGCAAACTCTGTATTTAGCTTTAGGTTTCGCGGCGGTGAGCACTGGAACTAGGCATGTGAAACTCTGTAACAGCTATAAATTTCGTGAAGGGACACGATTCGTATTTTAACAGTTGCAAACATGGCGACGATGCGAAACTTAGAGGTTAATGGGCATGCTGACTTATTTAACTAAATCCAAATTTGCGCTAGTGTTAGGCTATGCGCAAAAATCTATCCTTAAATTGTTTAATTATTAATATTATATGACAGAGTACGATCTTCTGGGTTTCAACGCCATATAGTTAGGCAGAAGTCCACTGGCTTTTCTAAGGAACTTATCGCCTCCTTCTTCAGGTCGAAAATAAGTCAAGGAAGAACCAACAATAAAATGGCGGTAAGCAGAGCCCGTTTGTTACTGGTTTCTTGCTTGGTCTATTCTTATACCCTGAAGATGGAGGTGATAGGTTCTTTCGAAATGTCGGCGGATTTCTACCAGACTACGTGACATTACTATTCAGAACACCATACACTTCATACATACCACTGTGAGAACCTGCAATCCAATGTTAATATTACGGCCTCAAAATAATGAATGAAACGCTTCAAGATAAGTTCTTCTTAGGCCTTCTTACAAATGTTGCCTAATCTAGTGCATCCATTGACATATCTTCGAAATTTTCCATCTTTATCTCGCATTTTTACAAATTCTTGTGTTCTTCGTAACACAGTTTTCACTTCCGTACAGAAGTGTATGTCCATACATTACTTTATGATATACAAACTTCTCTCTGTGGCTAACTGAAACCGAAATTAACGGCCGTGGGGATTCGTTGCGCTGACAACGCGACACCCTCTATCCGCTAAAGTTGGCACTAACTTAGCCGACAAGCGGCGGTCTCTCGGTCGGTATAGTTCGCTTGCGAACTCAAACCATGGAGTTTTTTTTTATTTGTGGCTAATTTGGACGCCGGAATAGCTCAGTCGGTATAGCGAAGGTTTACTAACTGGAAGGCAGGGGTTCTGTTCCCCGCAGTTAGAAGATTTCTCTCTTCTCCACAGCTTCCAGACGTGCCCTGGGGCACAGCCCAAGCCTCGAATCCAATGGGTACGGGTGCTCTTTCCCCCAGTGTACAATGATCAGGGGAGGGGGGGTTAAGCTGACCGCTCATCACCATGTAATGCCAAAGTACTGTACCTTCACTCCACAGTACGCCTTCATGGCGTGGTCCACGGAAGTCACTCTCTCCGTTTTATCTGCAACTTGTTTGTGTGAGCCTAAAGGAAAGGTGTTCATATCCGCTTCAAGTTACGGTTTGTTATGAATCTCAGTGGGTCTGTGTACAAGAATTGTCATCTGTAATGACCAGGTGTGTTGAGGTTTGGGCCTGGGAGTCTCCCACGCTGTAGCTCCCATATGCAAGGCAGTGTTATCCTGTTTCTCACGTGAACTCACTCTATTGTCATCATCACAGAGGCCGTTTCGCTCTTCTCACGTGAAAATCGCACGGCCTTCTGCATTCACTTGTCTTGAAATATAATATCCGTGACGTCGAAGAGAACAAACAAGCAAGGAAACAGAATATAAAACATATATAATTACATAGGATAACACGTGACTTGCAGATACAAGAGAGGGGGGGGGCGCTGTTTGCACAGAAACAGGGAGGTTCTCACAGCGGTGATTATGAACAGTACTATCTTCTGGGATATAACTCCGTGTAGTCTGTTGAACATATCGCCTCCATCTTCAGAGTCGAAAAATAAAATGAACAAGAAACCAACAAGCAGTGCTCTTCATTCAAGATGGTTTCTTGCTCACATTATTCTTAGATCCTGTATTTGGAGGCAATATGCTCCTCCGAAACGTCGGTAAATTTTAACAAGCTACACTGCGTTATATCCCATAATATAGTACTCTTCAGTACTTTGGGAGTTTCCTTACAAATGCACCTGGAGTTATGTCAGTGTATAAAGCGGCTTCGGTTAATAGGATTCGGTTCTCCTTTTGGTAAATTCATTTCTTCATGTGTCTCTCAAAGTGAGCAAGCCTATGGAGCAGTCACTTTAGACACGATAACCGGTACAGCGACCAGGCTCCAGACTTCACGACCGAAGAAGAATCATGGATCAGTTTCTGGCAGGGGCAACGAATTTCCCTCTTCTCCACAGCGTCCAGACTGACTCTGATACCCACTCAGCCTCCTATTCAACTAATTCCAGGGGTCAAAACAGCCAGGACGTGAAGCTGACCACTTAACCCCCCTCTAGTACCAAAGTTGAGAATGTGTCGGGATGTACCTCCGTCCTCCCATATGTGTTCATGGCGTCGTGTTTATTGAAACTCAGGTACAACTTTGCCTTTCAGTAGTCGCTCGGCTGATCACAAAATTCTGCTCATTCATTGAACCCGAGGGTTTACCGTCGTGTTCCGAACAGCCAGCTAAGTCCGAGACGTTGTGTAATGTTATGTAACATGTTAGTTATTCAGGTGATGGATTGGTAGCCCACCTCTCAACCCCGCTCGCTGCTTGCCCCAAAATACGGTCGCTGTTATCCACATCTGGAAGCCATCTCCTCTATCCGTAATCGGACGGTGTTTGGTGACAAGGGACCTGTTAAAAATGGCACATAAATTTCTCCAGACATTGATAAACCCATTTTAAAATAAAAAGCTAGGCAACAGGTAAAATAAGCAGCAACTGTTTTAGGACCTGAAGATTTCACCTGGGACTATCAACTGTTTCAGGGACTATCTCTGGCCCCATCGCCAAGGTGTACAGAAGATTTTATCAAGTAAATGCTCAGTAACTGGGGAAGTCCCACCACTTGTCTGGAGGAGCCAGAACTTAAAGGTAAAGTTGTCCCTGTGCGTAACTAATTAAGCACTACGCCATGAAGGTGTATGGTGAAGTAGAAGTTAGAGATGAGTGGTTAGCTTCACGGAGCGGCTGCTTTACCCTCGGGGGAAGAGCCCCCTGTACATTTGTCTCAGGTTATACTCGGTGAGGATCATCGGAACGGGGATCGAGATATGAACCCAGGATTTCCATAAAACAAAACACGAGAGATAACCACTTTACCGCGACTTTATGTTGCCTTTTAAGTATACTGTCAACTTAATCGCCCTTACAACGTTTGTCGAGAAGTAGCATGTTTCTAAACAAACTTCTCGTCTGCATAGCGACGGGCTAAGGGCTGGACGACCCGAGCTCGATTTTCGGTAAGGTAATATATTTCTCTTCTCCACACCATCCGGACAAACTCTGGGATCCACCCAGTCTCCTATCAAATGGGTACAGGGGGCGATTTTTTCGGAGGTAAAGCGGCCGGAGCGTGAAGCTGACCACTCACCTCCATCTAATACCGAGGTTAAGAATGTTGGAGCTATATCTCCACTCCCCATACGTCTTCATGGCATTGTGTTTAATTAATTAAGCACAGAGACAGTTTTCCCTTCGCCTTCTCATTATTTCTAAACTACCCTCTTTATCAAGGAATAAGTGGGTATCCAATGGGGCTCTATTTCGCATGATATCCGTAGCAGATTCTGAGGAAATCTACAAGAGCATACCAATAAGCCCTGACCACAATGGCAGACATTCCATGCTTCCTTGCTTGTGATTTCGGATTCAGAAACGCGCTCTCGTACGCCGGCGCCAGCCTGTCGCCATGGAGACAATAGGATGTCACTGCGGGGGGAGGGAGGCGTTGCAACGTGACGTCATACGGGTGGTCCACAGGTAAGAACAAGATGGCCGAGTCATAAATCGATTGTTGACTACGAATGTTTGTTTTTGCTTCCACGTCAGCGTCTTGGCACACACGTCTGCTGGGAAGTTTTCCGTATCGCGGCGTGTTCTCTGAAGCTATGAACAGGAACT